AGGATCACCAATTCCACCATTGTTGCGCAGAAAGATAGTGCAGCAATACCAGAATGGTGTTACCCAGCGTAAAATAGCAAAGACTTTTAAGTTATCATCATCGACCGTGCATAACATTATCAAAAGATTCAGAAAATCTGGAACAATCGCTGTGCGTAATGGTCAAGGCCGTGAAACTCTACTGGATGCTCGTGATCTCCGGGCCCTTAAACGTCACTGCACCTCAAAAAGGAATGCCACTGTCAAGGAAATAACAGAATGGGTTCAGGAATACTTCCAGAAAGCATTGTCAGTGAAAACAATCCACTGTGCCATCTGCCGTTGCCAGCTGAAACTCTACAGTGCAAAGAGGAAGCCATTTCTAAGCAAGCTCCACAAGCTCAGATGTTTGCACTGGGCCAGGGGTCATTTAAAATGGAGTGTGGCAAAATGGAAGACTGTTCTGTGGTCATTTGATTCACGATTTGAAGTTCTTTATGGAACACTGGGACGCCATTTCATCCGGACCAGAGAGGACAAGTATAGCCCAAGTTGTTATCAACGCTCCGTTCAGAAGCCTGCATCACTGATGGTATGGGGTCGCATGAGCGCTTGTGGCATGGGCAGCTTGCATGTCTGGAAAGGCACCATTAATGCAGAGAACTATGTTCAGGTTCTAGAACAACATATGCTCCCATCTAGACGTCATCTCTTTCAGGGAAGACCCTGCATTTTTCAACACGATAATGCCAGACCACATTCTGCAGCAATCACAACATCATGGCTATGTAGAAGGATCCGGGTACTGAAATGGCCAGCCTACAGTCCAGATCTTTCACCTATAGAGAACATTTGGCGCATCATAAAGAGGAAGGTGCGACAAAGAAGGCCCAAGACGATTGAACAGTTAGAGGCCTGTATTAGACATGAATGGGTGAGCATTCCTATTTGTAAACTTGAGAAATTGGTCTCCTCTGTCCTCAGACGTCTGTTGAGTGTTGTAAGAAGAAGGGGGGATGCCACACAGTGGTAAAAATGGACTTGTCCCAACTTTTTGGGGATTTGTTGACGCCATGAAATTTGGAAACAACAGATTTTTCCCTTAAAATGATACATTCTCTCAGTTTAAACTCTTGATCTGTGATTTGTGTTCTATTCTGAATAAAATATTAGATGTTGGCACCTCCACATCATTGCATTCAGTTTTATTCACAATTTGTTTAGTGTTCCAACTTTTTTGGATTCCGGTTTGTACATAAAGTCAGAAATGTGGGCGTAATTGCAAAAGGGTGTAAAAAACAGACAAGGAGGGTACAATGTAGATGGAGATGAGCAATGAAAAATTGTGCCCAGTCTAGAAAAGATAAATGTACCTGTATAGAGCTTTGGAGCATACGTCACTGCGTTGGGTGCGGTGCGGGGCGTTCCCGTCTCGACCGCCATGTTTACAGCACTCAGAAGAAAAAAAAACCTCTGATGTTTGTCTGTGGTGTCACCGCTGTATCCTCTTTCATAACGCTGAAAAGCAGCTCAAAACAAAGTGGTCTATATTGTGACAAACTACTCCCAGATGATTAAAAACGGTACATGGAAAAAATAGGTAAAATTGGAAATGTCGCCCCATTGAAAAAATAAAAAGGGAGCAGATTCCCTGAGTAATATTTACCTCCACTGACATTCCCAGCAGCTCTGTTGTGTGTCACTGCAAATAATTTAAAGAATTACAAGTTACTGGAAGCGCTTGTCCAATCTATGAAGGGCTGGGTGGATGATTTGGACATTTTTAAAGCCCCGGATTGAGAATAGTTGTGGTTTGAACAAAAGGTACGTTGTTCTTGGCTCCTTAATTTTACATAAATTATTAATGTGCATTATTTTAGAATCAATCAACCTTCTGTATGTTATATTACAAAATTGTGAACACTTGATTTTTAAAGTATGTTTTTAACTGATTTACAAAGCTCCAAGTTTAAATGGTTAATTACCTTATTTTTAATGACTTGAGCTCATCTAATGACATGTAGACTTCAAATCTTGATTAGATTACTTTATTATATATATATACATATGTATATATATATATATATATATATATATATATATATATGTGTGTGTGTGTGTGTGTGTGTGTATGTATGTATTAAAATATAGATATATGTATTAATATAGATATATTATAATTTATGTTTCTGTCTTTTCATTCACCATTTTAATTGTGTTCACAGGTTCTGCACTCTCAGACGCTGAGCCAGAAGAACACCGTGGGTCATGCTGAGCAACACTGTGTCTACTCAGTGCAAATAAAACGGAGTGTGAATCATGAAGATGATGCTCCAAAGGCCTACATTAAAATTACAGCTAGCAGTACAAAAATCTAAAAGTTAAATGCGGTTTCATCATAAACACCAACATCCCTGAACTTGGAGCATCTCCTGATGGACTCAATGTGTGATTGCTGCTGCCTGGAGAAAGTTTCCTTACAAATATAGGACATGCAGCATCCAGCAGGCCGTGAAGGCAGGCAGTGAAGTTCACCTGAAGAAACATCATCCATACTATGCACAGGTACATAATCAAACCACTGTGACCTTGTGTGGACCCAGAAAGACATGGCTGTCATCCATGTGTCTCCAGAACAGGAATTCTGTGAAGCTCGTCTACAGAAAGTACGAAGCTTCTTAAAGATATTTCTCAGAGCACATTTGTACTGCTGCTTCAAGGGAGACATAAATATGTAAATCATGCTGTTAACCCGGGGAGTGGTGGCGCAGAGGTTAGAGAGGTGGGCCTGTGATCAGAAGATCGCCGGTTCACGCCCCGGTACTGACAACATCAAAAATGTGGG